GTCTTCTCAGTTTCATCTTCATGTTACTATGGATGCGTGATGTAGAATCTAGCACTACTTTATTAAACTGCTCAAAAGTTTGCCACATTTTGTCTTCCCTTTTCCTTCTTTATATAAATTTATATCAAGAAAACATTTTAATTATTTAAAGAAATTATCATGGTCCTACATGTACATGCTCTTATATTTTTTTTTAATTCATCATTATTTTATCTTTTTGATACATATATCATTCTCTCATAATTAAATAAAGTGTGAACCCATTAAATGGTATCAGAAGCGCTAAGAGTTAAGTTTTGATAGTCTTATATGTGATAAGGTTTGATAAAACTAACAAGTTAATTTTAAGTTACAAGTCATCTTTATCTCCATACTATACGGGTACGAGATATATTACTTAGCATTAGTTCATTAAACTACTCCAGAGCTTGTCATATATAGTCTAAAATAAATGTAATTTTTTAACTATAAGTTTTTTTTTAAAAAAATTTTCATCTAAAAGTTATTAATTAAAAATGTTAAATCTAGACTATTAAAACTATATTTGAATGGTATAGATTTCATCACTGTAATGACCACCATGATGCTGCACAGCAAAACTGGTTTTGTTTACTTTTTTTATATTTATGTCATAATTTCATTTTGAGTCATGTTTTATATCAGAACAAGTTATTTTGAAGAGTACCATAATAGCGCATTTGCTTGAAGGATGTGATATAATAACATATAAGTCAAGAAAAGAAAGCAACAAGTAGGTGAGAGGAGAAAAAAATTTGGAAAAGAACTTTATGGCATGCCAACATTATAATTAAGTGTACGACTGGTTGTTAAGCCCATCTGGTTCTCCTTTTCTCCTTGGCCTGGGATTGGAAATGAACTCATGGGTAGACACTTCTTACATCATAACCCATCCTTGGGCAGTGTAGGTGTGAGAGGAGACCCATGATTTAGTTTGATGTGAGTAGAAGACCTTTGGCCGAATTGTTCACTCCCTGAAGATTGAGGTCCATGTCTCAAGGCTATAAGGGGGAGATTGGTGGATGGGTTTGGGCATTATCCTCATGCTTGCATAAGTTGTGTCTTTTATGTATTTATGTAAGGCATTACTTCATCTACTTACCATTCTATTTTTATATGTTGTAAAGTGATCTTTGGTTATTGGGATTTTATGTCTGACCCCATTAATCTTGCTATTTTCAGGAGAACTTTCCAATTCGAGTCGTCATGAAGGGAAGCAGCAATAGACTTAGGCCTGCACAACCTAGTAGGCCTCTTATGACTTGGGTTTGTAGTGATTGTATGTTTTGCCATGCTAGACCCATGTTTTGTAATTGCATACCTAACTATCTCCTTCTAACATTTGGATTACTGTATTTGTTAGATATTTATTTAATAGTTGTAAGCCATAGGACTTCTTATGTATGAACCTTGTGAATCCGCATTTATCACTTTTTGGAAAAAGAAAACATTTATCTTATTGATGGTTGTTATGATTTTGAGACTGTTTGAGTTTAAATAAGTGCGAGACTTATGGGCTGGGCTTAGCCCCTATTGTTTTTGTGTCCCAAGTCTTGTGGTTGTATGTGTTGGTGACAGATTAGTGGGCGATACTTGTGCCCTAAGCCTTGTCTGTTATCATGTGAGTTTGTGAGGCTTTTGAATAAGTGAAACTCTTAATAACCATGGTAATATGTAATATTCTAGTCTAATTATTTTTCTACCATAGTTAACCCCTTAAACTATTCCAAAATTTTGGTGTTAAGAAAAAGTCTTAATTTTCAAATGGCATAGACGGATATGTATTACTCTACTAGCTAATTGCTCGTTGTTAGTTACAAGTCTGTGCAAAGTGTATCTTTTGTCTAGTAGTACACGGAGATAAATTTTTGGTTTTCTGAGGAGGAATCAACTCCATTTCATTCAACCATGATTGATAATACGCAGATACTCCCTTGATCTTTTTTATAGGACAAAGAAGAAAGATATTTTTTTACTTCTATTTATAAGGTACTAAGAAATTTTTTTTATATAGATGTACAATTTTACCTTTAATTTATTATTGTGGTGATTTTGTTTACATGAGGTATAATGTATATTAAATAGGGATAAAATTAAACAATTATTGAATTTTAAATGAGAGTTAATGAAGTTTAAGATTTTCCTTGATATCTGAGAAACACATTGAAAGTGACTTATAAATAGAACAAGAGGATTATTGTGTTCAGATAAATGTGAGTATATGAAAGTAAAAGAAATTTATTGTTGATAACACATCTTCTCTCAAAGCATAATATAAACAACGATAATCCAAGTAAAATCAAACTTTGTTTGACGTAATTAATCCGCTGTGAATTTTAAATTTGGGGCTGACGTTTATATTTTATCTCGAAAATTTTGAATACACTTACATTAACAAATCATTTCAATTCAAACATTAATCGATGCACGCGCGTAAGATAATATAAAGAAATCCAAATCCAAAACAATAAAAAAAGAATATTCATTAGAGGGAAGTATAAATTGGTCACTGTCAAGTCTCAACGGCATTTGTTTAATTTTGCGGCGATTTGGAGAGCAACAGAGAGCCATTTACGGCCGTTAGTCGCTTCTTAAGGTCTTTCACAAGCTCTCTTTCCTTTTTTCAAAGAAGAAGAAGATCCTTTGTTCTCAGGGGCCAAGATTATGCGTTCTAAGGGTTGAATTTGGAGCATCAAGTCAAAAATCATAATAATATTGCCCCATATCGTTAAAAATATTAACGATGAATGTTACTCCTCCGGTCCTTAATATATGACCTAATTGTTGACTTAATTTTGGTCCTAAATATAAAACCTATTTATCATATTTATCAATTTTTCCTAAATTACCTCTATGAATACTTCCTCAACCATAATCAAGTAGTAGAGGGAGAGAGGATATTAAGGAAGATAATTATGTTGTTTTAGGAAAAACATGTCATATTTCTTATAATTAACTAATTTACCTAACTTTCTTAATCTAATCAAATTAGTTAAATAAATGGGAAAATTAATCTTTTAATCCTTTAACTTTTAACTCACTTATAACTCGGTCCCTTAACTATGACTCGCTTTAACTCAGTCCCTTAACTTTTAACTCGCTTATAACTCAGTCCTTTAACTTTTAAACCGTTTATTTTTTTGTCCTTTGTCATCCATGACTCATCTTCTGTCATGACTGAGGTATCCTAGCTGGCAAAAAAAAAAATATGAGTCAGCTTCCCCTGATATCATGCATCAGCAAGAGGTTAAAAAAACAAAAAAGAAAAGTTGATTTAGGGCCCGGAGAGTTTTGAGCGACAAAAGATGAGAAGAAATAGCATCGTTGGCCAGAGAAAATCGAGCTTATTTGCTTCTTCTCCATCACGGTCTGCGTCTTTGAAGGTCGTCACTTGTTACTTCATCATTTTCGTCCTTTGTTCTCTGGGTAGTTAATTTTTCTTCTCTCTTCTCTCTCCGATGTGTGTTCATGGAAGCTTCTATCAAGTCTTTTTTCTTTAGTGATGTTTATTGTTGGTTGCTTCCTAGTTGTTCTGTCATCTCACTCGCTTTTTTTTTTGTCATCTCTATGGTCAATGATCACTCACTCCTTTGTAATTATTGGCATTTGGAGTTCTGCACATATTTCACCGTAATATTGTTTTATTTTATTCATTTTGGGTTTCCCTTTACTTTTGTCAGCTTATTGATGAGGTTTGGTAAAACTTTTGCTTCCCCCTCTTACTTTTGGTAGTCCTTGGCTTTCATGGTCTTGCTACGGGATTATCAAGACTTTTAATTTTGATGTGATGTAAGAAGAGGATGTAAAAATACACAGATATGATAATATGCTTCTATTTTTTCTTCACTTTAGTAATGGTAGGAAATTGTAAGGAAGGTTCTGGTTTGTTGTCTTAAGCACTTGTGTGTTTGAAAATTACATAGCATTATGTTTTGATTTATTCGACTAAATGACTGAATCTTTTTTTTTTAAACATTTGTAGCTGAATTGGTCTTGTGATTTATTTTTGAATCTTTGCTTGATACAAGGTTTGAGATGATATAAGATGAAGAAAAGAGCATACTGTTTATTGCAACAAAAAGAGGGAGGGGTGCCTATGAAGCCCGCAACTGTAACTGGTTTTTTTTAGAGATACCCAATTCTCTAATTTGCCATAACCCATTGTAGCAAAGAGACAAAAGTTGAGGATCAAGCAGCCCCATTTGGAGATGCATTATATTGTGAACTAGGACTATTTATGAGTATACTATTTATGTAATAGTACATGTAGCTTTGTATTATAAGGTGTGTAAGAATGCCTCTATGGGCAAGAGTTTTGTAGATTTTGATATTGTAATGCGTAGCTGGGCAAAGTGAAATATAATCAATGACAATGTGTTTAATAAGTATGATTTAATGCACCCATTTGAATCCCCAGACTTGTGTGTCTTTTGGGATTTTCATTGACAACATAGCTGATATTTAGACATTCTTATGTGAATAATGAATTATAAGGAATAAAAACATAAAAGGATATATTCATAAAAGAAACCAAAAAATTGTAAATACAATCATAGTAGATGAAAGCCACGCAAGAATGCTATAGGATATTGGTCATTGCCTTATTAAATCGTAAATATCATTCTAGTTTTTGAAAAATTATTTTCTCATATATCATATGAAAGCCGCACAAGAATTTTCTTGTCATTTTACCGAGGTGAACCTGATCTTCTCCATATCAAATACTGATAACTAATTAATTATTAGCACCATCAGTTGCATTCTTCAAATTATCTTACTTCTATATTTCATCTGTTATAAAGATACAAAATGGATCATAATGTTATACTTAATGTTTTACCCAAAAAAGTAATTCCAAATACATCTAAGACTTTGCAAACATATCCACAATATTTCCAAAAACATCAAAAGAAGTTCCAAATAAATCTAACAAGGTTCCAAAAAGGCCTAGACCACATATGCATATAAAGGATCTTCTCTTATTAGGGTTGTGATGGAGGTGTTGTACTGGTAGACTCTTGTTGTGAACTTCTACTGGCACTGCATGTTCTTCTATTATGCCCATAGTTTTTACAGTAAGAACAACGAAGTCTTGAGGATGTCCTTCGAATCTTATTAGGTTGGGAAGGCTCATCAGGTGCTCTTTTTCTTAATTTTGGAGGTCTTCCTGGTCTTTTATGATAGGACGGAGGGTCCATCTCCTCCTTATTTGTTACTTCCCACATTTCTTGTCCATTAATCGGCTTCACCACGGGAGAGTAACACTCAACATAAGCATCTATCTTCAAGTAGGGATGAACATAATCATGAGGGTCTTTTCTTTTTGCGTAAATTGAACTAACTGCATGCCTGCAATTAAGAATTAATAATGTGTTAATAACTACATGCATTCAAATATTCAAACATAACTCTAAAATTTATAACAAACCTGCAAGGTATTCCAGTTAAATCCCACCATCTACAAGTACAACTCTTAGTAGCAAGGTCAACTGAAAATTTGTGCGAGTAACACGAGACCTCAAATTCAAATTCTCCTGCTTGTCGTGCAACCCACTTTCGTGATTGACTAACTTCTTTGTCCAACCTCCGTCTTGGATTCGGACATACGCTTCCATGACTTCTAAATTTCTCTGCCTTCTTTCTATTCTCTTGAAATCTTGTCATGATGTAAGTGCGAATCCATTCTAATAAACTAATGATTGGAAGTTCTCGAGCCTCTAAAAGCCTCCCATTAAATGATTCAGATATGTTATTCATAATCATGTCACTCTTTGGATATTCACTGAAATGAGATTTTGTCCAACATTGTGGAGGGAACTTCATCAAATGATCATGAGCCTCTTTAGATTTATTTTTCAACTCATGCATTTTTTGCTTCCATCCATTGACATATGTTGCTTTCGCAGCTTGCAACACCAAATCTCTAATCACAGACCCACCACTATATCTACTCTTAATGTTGGCATATAAATGCCTAACACATAAGCGATGCTCAACTTCAGGAAGAAGTGACTCAAATGTTGGCATTAATCCCTACAACAACAAAAAATATATTGTAAAACCACAAAAGACATAAATGCATATGGATAAAAGAAATATAAATGCCTATCAATTACCTTCTGTTGGTCAGAAATAAAGACCCATCTTTGTGTTCTTCCTATGTCATTTAGAATATGCTCAAGAAACCATGACCATGAATCTCGATTTTCACCTTCAACAATAGCTATTGCTAAAGGAAAATACTGCTCATTTGGATCACGTCCTACTGCTACCAGCAATATTCCACCATAAGGTCCCTTCAAAAAGCATCCATCTAAGCCAATGATTGGTCTACATGCTGCTAAAAATCCTATCTTGACAGCATCCAAACAAAGATATAATCTTTTGAATCTTGGTGCTCTATCAATAAAGGGACGATCTGTCAAAATTTTGAATGTAGTTTCAGGACTTTTTGAGAGGACCTCGTTGTTGTAATCCCATAGTCTCTTATACTCATCTACAAAATCACCTTCAATAGCTTGTTTTGCCTTTCTTCGTGCCCAATAAGCCTTAGGCACTGACACATCTGCCATATAATCTTCTTTAATTGTGGATATCACATCTCCAAGACTCATATTCTTATTTGTCTTTATTCTATTTTTAATCTTTTCTGACACCCATTTAGATGAAACATTCTTAGAACTAAAAGTCACACCACAAGTGTGTCTTGGATTATAAGTCTTCAAACGATATGTCATGGAATCCCTCTCCTTACTCACAAATATTAACCAATCACAACGTACACACTTTATACAGCACCTTACACTATCATTTTTAATGTATATTGTTTCATACCCATTCAAAAGTGAATACTCCCGAACAGCTTCCCTAAATTGAGTAATTGAGGTGAACTCCATTCCAAGTTCAAAGATATAGTCTTTGCACATCTCATCTGGATTATACTTTTTGCACCCACTTGTCACAACACCCTCTTCCAAATCCAAATCAGATTCATCTATAGATTTTAATGAATCAGTTTTGCGATTAGATGATAAAGAGCCTGCAACTTCATCATCAGTCAATATTAAGGAATCCACATTAGCTAATGACATGTTATCTTCTTCACAAAAAGTATCATCATCTTCCTCAACAGTAAACTCATTGTCTTCATCACTACTCCCTCCATCACCCCCTAATTTTATCATATGGTTAGACATCACATAAACCACGCAAATTATATTGTAATATTAATATTAATTGGAAGTACTCACTTACCCAAGCTATTTGACGCATCCATATATATATCACACTGAAAAAAAACAGCAATTAATAATCATGGTTAATTAGCTTAAAAAGACAAAAAGAGAGAATCAAGCACAGGCATGTTTTAACATTCTTTATGGGTCTTCCCAATCTCTTTGTCACTTTGCATTAAAAAAAAAAGATTTTCCTGGAAATAAAAACTCAACATGTATCATTTACATAGTTTGATGAAAGCTTAATAATGATGCTGACAATGACTATGAAGGCAAAACCAAATATGTTTAGGATTTTTGATGGATATGCGGTTCAATGTAATGTTGTTATTTGAATATTTTAATATTTTTGCACAGTTGTACGGTCAATCAATGAATCAAGCACTATGATCTCCAGAAACATAGTATATTGTTTATTTCATTTAATCAAATATTATCATGAATTCAAATCAGACATCTACGAGCATGGGGACCACTGAAAACAGCCATAATCGAGAAACAAGATAAATATAGAACACATATTATTCAAATACACAGTGGGACCACTAAAGCACATGGAGCGCATGGATGTATTGTTACAAATTGCACCTTTCTCCCTTACCGATATCCCTCTGCAACTGTAAAAAGTTACTCTTTTATCTGATCTTCTTTGTCGCCTCTACATTGTTTCTTTGTCTTCTTCACAATTTAGTCTATTCTAGTCTTCCTGTTCTTTTCGGGTCTGGTCATCTTCTTCGTGCCGCTAGCCCTCCTTACTTGTGCGTTTTTTTCTCGTCTTTATGGGGGTTACTTCTCTTTTCTTCGCAAGCCCTACCCTAGTTGAAAACATTTTTTTCAACCAGTTTCATGTGAATTCCAGGTGTGTATGACTAGGCAGCCACATCAGTAATTATTAACGGCGTTAACAGCGTTTTCTTCCATGTAGGACGAGTTGGGATGACTAATGGATGATAAGGATCATTTTTTAAAAAACTAAAAATAAAAAGGACTGAGTCATAAGCGAGTTAAAAGTTGAAGGACTGAGTTAAAGCGAGACAAGGCTTTATGAAGTAGCCTTGAAAATTTAAAATCATAATAATATTGTCCCTTACAATTAAAAAGCTAATGTTGACATTTAAATATGTAGCCACATTTCTTAATAAATTACAAGAGTATCGTATCGTGCGAGAAAATAATAGCCACATTTCTTAATAAATTAAGTATTGCCCCCGGTTCTAACTATAAAATTTTATTTGTAAATTACAAATAATGTCTTATAATTAGGACCGGATGTAGTATTTATTAAGTTGATTATTTGTAATAAGTAGATGTTGTCTTTTCTTAAATACCCTAATTAATTATGTGTATTAAAATATCCTTTCATGCAAATTCCTCAGCATCTGTAATTACTGCCATAGGAAATGTTTGGAGGCAAAATAGATAAATAATGAAGACAAAATAGATTGAGATTTTATATTTAGAACTAAATTCAATTTCTAACTAACTCAGTTTTGACTAATTTTTTTTCTTGTGTATATATGATAAATACTTAAAGAGGTTAATTAATTCATATTATACTATTCTAGGTTTCATTATTTTTCACTTGTTGGAGTTTCTCATATACCAAAGAGAGTAATAAATAGATAAAATTTTTTAATTTTGTCTTTATTAAAAAGAGCATTAAATACTAATATATTTTCTCGCACTTATTCCTTCTCTCTTCGTCGTTACTATAATTAATAGGGATAAAATTTTATATGAATTATTAAAAAAGGTATAAATGACAAATAAAAAGGACTAAAATCCCTTACAACAAGTGACAAATAATAAGGATGAGAGTGGTATATAAAAATGCATAAAGAACTGTCATGTATTAATTGCGTAGAAATTTGGGGACAGTGTTATAGAAGTAGTTATTACCATCATTTTTCTTGGAAATTAATTATGAATATACGTATTCAAGTCAACCACTCTTGAGTTTAATCGGATTCATTATATATAAAGACACATAAAACTAGAAACAAATCACATCCAACATTCAATTCATTACATAAAGCCATGGGGTGTAGTTTTTCCGTGGGAGCTGACAAGACAGAGAAGTAAAAGATGGAACAAAGGCTCCAGCTGCCCCATGAAACTAAGAAGCCTCAACCGCGCGGCCATGACCACCGTCGTCTGCAACCACGTCACGGATATCAATCTGGAGGCAACGGTGGCATAACCGTCATGACGGGCGGTCCTGCAGCTTCTGGGATGTACGGAAGTTGCAGTAGTTACGGCGGAGGCAGAAGTTGCCGTGGAGGTGGTACGGTGGATGTTGATGGGTGCATGAATAATTGATAGTATATGTCAACAACATTAATATATAATCTTTCTAAAATCATTTTTTTTAATGTGATCAATCCACTACGAATTTAAAATTTGGGGCTGACGTTTATAGTTTAAATCGGATATATATATATGTATATATCATACATGCTAGTGTAACATAAAGAACTTTCAGGTTTCAACGATCTGGATCTATCATAAGCAATTTAAATTTTAAGTGGCGACTTTTGGACTCCGCCAATTCGGATTCATTATTTAAGTAATCCCACACTAATTGGCCATCATAAAGTTCAACTCATCAGGTACACCTATGGGCTGCATTGTTCCCGTAGAAGATAATCCAAAGCAAGAAGAAATAAATGGACACAAATCCTCCAAAGAAGCAGTCCAAGCTAACCATAAAGCTCAGCAACGCCAACCAAGAAATGTGTATAAAATTGGTGGGGGAGGTAGTGGTAGTGGGGGATGCGTTCGCATTCGATGCTCAGCACACTGCTGAGCACTGAGTGCTCGTTAGCGGAACGACGTCGTCTCCGTAAATGAAGATGACGTTATAATCTACACGATACAGACTGGCCCATTTCACTCTTTGTTTTTCATCCCTATTTCTCATTCCCGCGTCCATTCCAAATTTCCCGCTAACCTCAAACCAAAGCCAATGAGGAGATGGATTGTGTCGAAATAGAGAGGGCAGACAGGAGAGACTGGTTGGAGATAATGGAGGAGGATGAAGGAATGGAAGGATAGTTGGATGCTATTACTATACCAGAAAAAGAAAACAGAGATGGACTACAAGAAGCTTGACTTAAAGAGGGAGAAGGAAGAGACGTTGGACTCGGCGAAGAAAGAAGGAACGGGTAGTTTTTTTTCCTATTGAATCTTGCCTAAAAAGTAAAACCAAATCTGATATTATATATATATATATATATATATATATATATTGAAGGGACCACTATGCATGTGCTCACCGAAATAGAGCATCCATTTGGAATGTTGGAATGTGCCAAAAAGCAATGGGTGTCTAATTACAATATATATATATATATATATATTGAAGGGACCACCATTTGCTCACCGAAACAGATCATCCATTTGGAATGTTGGAATATGCCAAAAAGCTCTGGGTGTCTAATTACAATAGATATATATGGGAAAACTAATTTGGAGGTGAAGTTTATTCTGACAAAAGAGGTGAAGTTTTTTTTCCCAGTTCATAAAAAATCCTGTGAATTGTTTTTTATTTAGTGCAATTTTAATTCACAAACACATTCATTTTTTTTAAAGTAGAACATTCCATTTATGTGGTCCACTGAGGAGGAATTTGTCAGATATGTTGAATCGTATGGATTAATACACTAACAATCCATTTTGATGCATATGTGTGTTTGTGTATATATGATATTTAGAGTTCAATGTGAAAAAATGAAATTATTATTTTAGTTTTTCTATTAATTTTTAAAAAAATGAAGTTATGATATGTTTTAAATATATAAGGATTTTGTTGTGTACAGGAACTTTACAATGGAGGATGAATTGAAACCCAAAAATAGGAAAAGAGTTTGGAAGCTGGGATGAAGCATGAAAATTTTGGCGAGATTATGCTAAAAGAACTGGTTTTGGGGCTAGAAAGTATAATGGTACAAAAAATAGAAGAGATGGTTCACTTATTACATGTAGATATGTGTGTTCCAAAGAGGGTATTCGAAAAGAAGGTAGATAGGAGACATATTCTTCTAAGTACCAAGCAGAAACAAGGACTAACTGTAAGGCAAAAATGATAGTATCTATTGTTGATCAGAGGCATAAAATTACTAAATTTGATGAAGAGCATAATCATCCCCTTCACACACAAGAAACTGTACAGTTGTTAGCATCTCAAAGAAACTTATCAGAAGTTGATGCTTATGGAATTGAGCTAGTAAGAAAGTTTGGACTTCAACAGAAGACTACATTTGATTTAATGAGTACATATGCTGGGGGCAAAGCAAATCTTGGATATACTCAAGTTGATATGCAAAAATTCCTAGGATGGTCAATCAGAGTACGCCTATATTTCGTCAACTTGTGCTACCTTATACCCCCAGTGCATTTGACATGTTCCAAGCACAATGGGATCTCTAATTCTCTGTGATGTTAACTCAACATGATGAAAAGTGACCATTATACATATACATTGCTCACATGATTGATGAAGAAGGGGAATGAAGAATTGAGTTTAAACCTGATACACATGAAATATCTTGCTCTTGTGGAATGTTTGAGACCACTAGGATATTGTGTTGTCATGCATTGAAGGTGTATTGGTCAAATGATGTGAGAATTATGCCTGAGCAATACATTATTAAGCGATGGACCAGGGAAGCAAGGAGTGGTGTCACTGCCAGAAAAATGGCTTTTAATGGCGGTTAATTGAGGCTTTTAACGGCGGTTTTGGAGGTGGAGTAAAAAGAGTCGATGTTGAAAGTATAAGAAAACACGGCGGTTATTAACCGTCGTGGAAAATTAACTTTCAACGGAGGTTTTCCATAAAACCGTCGTTGAAAATAAACTTTCCACGGCGGTTCTATATTAAAACCGCCATGGAAAATCAATTTTTTAACGGTGGTTTATTAGTAAACCGCTGTTGTAAATTATTTTCCACA